GCGAGCTTCCTCGTTATGTCCGAGATTACTCCCGATGCTGGTTCACAATCAAATGAGGACTGTATATTTCCAAGCTATAAAATGCGTTTATTCGTAGATTCACAGTTCTTTACAATTCCGTTCCGTTCTGATACGTTCTAATTCGTTCTGCCTTAACCTCTTACAACAATGTCTTATATACACAAGGAAATACAAGAATGTTGCGGTTGTAACCGCTAAACTTAGTCTTAACTAGTTACAAGCTTTCTTTGTTTGTTATAATCAAGTACGTGATCTACTTTTAGCCCATATGTGCTACATGCAAATGTCACGCGCAATTTGTGACATTACCGCGAGAATTAACGTTGCGTGATACAAAGATTAAAATAAACTATTATTATCGGACAAATATGGAACTCAAACAATGTCTTGTAGTGAACAGTGGCAATTTCATATGTAAAAGTACAGCTCTAAATGCCTATGTCTTTGTGCAATCATCACACTTGAAAGAAAGATCATATTCACTTAATTTAATTCCCACGCATCTTGCATGCTGCTATTGTTGACAGTCACTGCACTTTATTATCGAAGAGCTTTTCTTTGATGCACATAGATTGCAGCTGTGTAAATGCTTCTGTAATCTCTTTCTTTTGCCATTAGCTGAAAATAAGAAGCATTATGACGATTCATTTATCTTCCACTCCTACATCTTTTGAAACAACTAGGTATTGTCTCAAGATCTTTTCCAATATTTTAGCTTATTTGCAAACATTGGTTTTCAATTGAAAAGCTAAGTAGAATACATACCCTGTGTTATTGTATGGCCAGTACTCAATTATAAGATTCCTCAATTGTATATCGCATTATAAAACTCAACATTCCTTTGTGGTGTACCCAATCCTTAGAAAAATCACAGATTTGCCATGGCATTATATGAGAATAAGTAAGGCAAATCAAGTCAATATTAACAGCAGTGGCCTGATTACGCTAGTTCTTCAGTTAAACATTCAAATTAGATGATGCTAGACAAGGCCCACATTCCCTTCAGACTTCTGCAGGAAAATGATGACACTGATTTATCATACTTTTTCAAATTAGTGTTAATAAATTTATGGGCCTGTCAATGTCAACCTGAAGGAGGCTGGGCATATTTGGACTTCTTACTGGTATTCAGGCAGCTGCTATAATTTGGATGCCCTTTGATGCAGATGAGTTTGTTTTGCTGACAATTCCGATTATATATTAAACAGCAATTTGGATTTTCCCAAAAAGCAAACAGATGATAGTGTTTTTAACGTGAAAGTATTTCAAAGGCATTTGTCAAAGTACGCAGATGAGAATTTCTCAAACTTTTGGTATTGGTTGCTTTTTTAGACATAACACATTTCACCGATAGTCTTAGTTGGGGGAGGGGAATTAGTCTCTTTATCAATAACAATGTCCCTGGAGTAGGGCATTAATCTGAAAATATGCCCGAAGTCTTTGTTTCCCCTCCAGCCTAACATTGATAGGTGTGTTATTGCAGCAAAACACAATTGGAAAGCAAAGCTAAACATACCAGTAAGTAAATATTCACTTTCACCAGATCCTTCATTTTCTATTAGTGTACCTACAAATACAACGATGGAAGGAAAGTACACCTTGATGAGCATTTCTTTTTATTCTTATTTTAGTAGATTAATTAAGATACTAGTTTGGACTTAAGCTATTAACATGATGAAATAACAGGTTTATTAACTTTGAGTAAATATTCCAAAACAATGCAGTAGAGGCTGGTGGTGGTGGGATTGGATTGAATTGTAATAAAAGTGATTCCCCCTTCCCCATACTGAATTACCATTTGTATCTGGGAAGTCTCCCTTACATTAACTTATTATACATGCACTCATACATGGGTTTTACGGTGTGATATCTCAACTTACTTGAGCACAACAGGGGTTAGTCACTGATGAAATCTTCATGCACAAATCCTTTCATTTGGAAAAAAAATAGGTTAATGCTAACCAGTAACCACATGAGGTATGAAGATGATTCATTCTCCCGCATAGAATTCGGCTCTTCCACCTCTTACTAGTTCTGAAGTAAATTTTGAATCTCGGTTCCTTTTTTTTTTAAGTAAACAAGGAAATATCGCATTAGATCTAACTATGGCTTTATTAGACAAAACAACCTACCTGACTCTTCGCACAATGTCTTGGAAGTCGAAGCTGAAAAAACAGTAGCGATATATTAACAAGCCAGGTAATTTACACATTAAATGAATAGAGGCGAGTTTATAAAGGAGGATATTACGTCAGCTGGGGAATGAATGGGTAGAATTAGGAGGAGGGCTGAGGGAATTGCCGCCCCCGTTTTTTTTTTCTTAAATCTTCCACATAAAAGAATAAATATTAGTGACCCCTTTATAGCAGTATTATGCAATCTTATTTTTTAAAACCTAGATTGCCAATCCATGATGTGCAAATGAACCTTAGAGGGTTTCCGTAACCATTGCTTCCTGGAGAAGTGAAATTTTTCATAACTTTTGGCAGGGCAGTGGGATGGTGGTGGTTTGCACCCCGCAAACATTTCTTTGGCTCTCTCTATCTTAACTTTCTGCACGGGCCCCTGGAATGGATCGCGGACTGGCTTGCACTATATGATATATGAAGTTCATATGTGGATCCCTATTTGTTTTCTAATTTACTGCACTCGTTGTCACTGATGACTGGGAATAATTGGCGTTCATTTCAGTTAAGCATCGAATTACAATCCACATCTTGATATGAATATCTACGTTATGTTATTTAAAGTATTCCCAAGAAGTTTGACTTATGTCGACCAGTGACAAGACGCGACAGGGAGTGCACAACAATTGGTCCTTCAGAAGAAGTCATTGGAAGGCTTCTCTTTTCTGGTTGTACTTCTTCAGGAGCCCTCGACACTGGAAGGCTTCTCTTCACAGCACGTAATTGTTCCTTTAAGTTGTCATTAGCATTCCTCTCGGATTGTAACACTTGTTTAAGTTGTGCAATCTCGGTGAGATATTCCTCCTCAGCTCGTTCAAACGACTCTCTCTCTCGTTTGAGACTATCTTGCAACGTTGTGCAACTAGTGCACCCTGGAGGTGACGAGGTCTCGCTTTCTTCTTCTGTAGCCTCGATGCACCCTTCGCTAAACCCTACAAAAGTTCAGAACAATGTCAAGGATATTTATGGAAGATCGACTGAATTCCACAGAGAAATTGTAATCAGTTATTTGGCAATGCTTACATCCGTCAATCTCTTTCAGGAGGTCTTGATTAATACTTTTCCGAGGTATTTTTAGGGAAGGTACCCGGTTATTCACACCGACAAACTTTGTACGAACATCTGCATTCGCGCCATCAACACTCTCCATAATGTTACGCATGTCCTGGCTACTGTATGGGGTCCCAGCCTTTAGCAGCAAGGTTGTTATCATTTGCCGGTGGAGATGTAGGGCTGGACCATGGTTTGACATCCTTTGAGGGATGCATGTTCTCAGCCATGTGGAAACCTAACAAGAAAACATATAAATAAAACAATGAAAAGTCGTTACTTTGGGCTAACACGTTTGTTAGTTCTGCCAAAACATAAAAAGTTTCTCTTGGAGAAACTTTTCTGATTTTGTGTAATTGATGGGAATGGAGGCCTTTCATCTTTGCCAGAAATTATTCTCGAGGCCTAGGAATAATCTAAACCAATGAATGCTTTACCCTCTTCCTCCTCTCAAGTGACCGCCGTGGAGATGCTAAAACTCAAAAGCTACTTCACTCATCTCTTTAAGTGGCATTTGTGTTATCGAAACCTACAGCAGCAGTCCTATTCATGGCTACACAAATCCAGATAATCATCTCATGACTAATAACATGGCTCCTTAGTTTCAACAATGTACTAAGTTATAACGTATTTGCCTCCTGAGTGGAATGCCCTTTTCTCAAGGCTTGTATGATATCTTTCATTAAGTCATCCACAGTCGCATTTATTTTGTGTGACTGCAAATAAAGGCTGCTCACATAGGGTACAAGTTTTTCATCTAAATGGGCGTCAAAGCCTTCCTCACTTGCTACAGTCGTGTCTGCAACTAGTTCTATAATCTATGTCCAAGATGAAATAAAGAAGTTGTTTAGAGTATGAAAATCTTGTTCAGTAACCTTCATAGTCTTGTTCAGTCCGCGAGTCACTAAGAATAACTCGAGTCATTCAGTTCAGAAATTGCCTTTAATTTTCTAATAGATAATTTCTTCGGAAATTTTCTTATCAATAACTCCAAACAGGAAAACTCTCACTAAATTCAACAAAATGTCGTTTAAAAAAAGGTGCGGGTTTTCTCCATCAAACCTTTTACAATTTAAGTTAATTTATCCTCACTTACCTTAAAGGCAAAAAGACGGTACATGTAATATACCAGAGGCAGCCTTGATGGAGACCCTTGCAGCCTTTCTTGGAAGAACTTGACATGATCTTCCAGGCCAAACTCCGTAAACTCTCCCATCCTTATAATGGAGGGAACACAGTTTGTCTTTAACTGTTGGAATGCGGCGTTACGCAAAGCGAACAAGGTTTCACTGATTCCTTCTCCGTTAACAATTTTGTCAAAAAAAATGGGAGTTGTCCTCTCAAATGCTCTAAAAAAGTGTTGTTAGTGTCAATAAAAATCTAAATCTATGCAAGCTTTTGCACTAAAAAATCAATTAACTACGTGGGTGTATCAAAAGACAATATTCTCACACAACTAACCTCAAATCGTCATCCAATTTAAAGTTGACTGTTAGCAGGAAGGTGGTTCTAGGGACTTCGTTGCCACCTGTTTATGTCTGCTTCCCCCCACCTTGAAACGTAGATACCAAAACGTTTTTCAGGGTATTGGGATGGGAAGGATCATCCCAGTAGACGGGAAGTGTGCTTTTTGTCAGTTCACTAGTTACTGATTCGCCTGATGACTGTGACAGAAAAGTGCCACCAATCAGAGCATGAGTCAGCCTCAGTGAAGAGGACTTGCCACTTGCTGGTTCTCCAACAGCCATAGGTGCTGGGCAAGAACCTAAGAAAAAGAACTCGGGTATTAGCGACCTTAAGATTTGAGGACGGGAGAATCTAGTACGAGTGCCGGAAGCGAGATTTTACATCCGGTCATACGCAGAATGTGCGATAAGCTCGTCATCTTCCCGTCGCGTTGCGTCTACTACGGGAGTTGAGGTGTTTTGCCGTAGTGGCTACTACGAAGGAAATTTTGTGTTAAATTCTGCTAGTTTTTGGATCTTTTTAAAGTTTTGTATAACCTTAAGTCTTTATATAATAATAATAGTGTGTTTAAAAGTGCAGCCAAAATACACTTTTAACGCGAAAAAGTTACAAATATGGATAACGTGGCTGGTACGACAAGCAACCAGGTGCCAGGACCAAGGCGGGAAGAAACCATGGCAGCGAAAATCTTCGTAAGTATTTACAATAGGCGCTCAAATAGCGCATTTCAAAATGCCATTTCATCCTAGTATTGATCGTTTTAATACAATCCCTTGAGACATTACAAGGACAAAAGATTGGCGCTCATGAGGTGCATTTAACTGCTGCGAACATTTAAAAGGATAAAATCTACGAAGGATTCATTTTGGTTGACTAAGTGATTTTTGTAAATGTTTACAGAATGCTATGGTCGGATGAGCATTGTATGCTTCTTTGCCGTGAAATCTTAGCTGTGGACCCGTTCACTGGCACAAGGAAGGGGTCCATCCAAAGAGGGGCGAATTGGAAGGCTATCGCCCACAATTTGATGGCGATCGAGAAACCGAAATTCACAGTAGATGCGCGGGCTGTCCGCGAAAAGTACGCTTATTTGGCAGGTAAACTTCAGAACAAGTTAAAAGAAGAGGAAAAAGCAAGCGGAATCGCCACAAAAATGACTGAAGTTGAAGAGGCATTGCAGGAAATTTTTGAGATTCAAGATGAAGCTGAAAGAGCACTAAAAGATGGTTCAAACAGGAAGAAGAAAAATGAAAATGCAGATAGAGCACAGGCAGAAACCATGAGGAAAAGAGCAATGGAATCACTCGGCGAGAGCCTTGGGAAGAAGGGAGATGATGCAGAGAATGGAAATAAAAAGCAGAAAAGGAGATCGAATGGCAGTGACACTCTTATGTTTTTAAAAGAAAAAAGTGAAATGATGCATGAGATGAAAAAACAGGAAATGGAATTAAAGAAAAAAGAGATTGAGCTGCAAGACAAAAAACACGATGATTTTCTTAGAGTTATGCTTGCCCAGCAGCAACAACAAGACTTTCAGGCCATGATGCTAGCCATGATGAATAAGCTGACACAAAATTAAACATCTACCATGGTAACACAGTATGAACATTTGAATGAATATTTTATTTGCAAGGATGATTTTAAAGTTTGGTTTTAAAAAATTCAAAATATATTTATATCTCTGTAAATTATATCTTTGAGGTATTACTGAAAAAAGATCAAGTTCATATCAAGGGATGATATGTCAAATAGATCATGATCAGAGTAACAATCAACGACAATTTGTTCACATATGTTGTGGTTCTTGTTCAGAAAAAATAACCTTTACCCCAAGCAATTTGTAAGGATATTTCTACCGCCAGAGTTGAGTTTATTTAAAAGATTTAAAAAGTTTTAAACTCAAAAATTTTGTAATTTGAGTTAGTGTTTATGAAAATAGTTGAAAAACCTCTCATTACAAAATGCAAGCAATTTCCAAGAAAATTTTTTATGGAAGAGATAAACTTAAAATTTTTCAATAAGGCAAATTAGTACAAAAATGTTTTTTTTTTTTAAGGGAACAGCCATCATTTGTAAAATATACTGGGTCTGGAAGGTAATTTACAAAAGTTTAAACATTTTCATGGCCTGTTTTGTTCAGCACATAAAATTTTGATACCCTTCCAAATATTTGTGAATTATATATTACTATGACTTGTTTTCCCACTAAAATTTCACAGTCCATAAAGAGGAAGAGGAAAAATTTTGTGACCCAGTACATTCCATAAATAATGAACACTCCCTAAGAAAAATATAGTTACTGTTTTCTGTGATGTCTTCAATTAAACTACTTTATTTACATGACATGTGCTGGTCAATGTTTCAGTCTTATGAAAAATATTCATCCAGAGTTGGTGGTTCTACATCAAAAAACTTTGAGGTTTCATTTGGATAAAGGCATGTTAGAGCATTTCTCAGAATGGCTGCAACAAGATAGTACTTTCCTACAGCACTCAGTTGAAGTTTTAAGTTCTTTTTGAAATCAAGGAATTTAAAGTAATTAATTATGTCCCCGAATATCCACTCAACAGAGGTTCTGACTGCGCTCATTGAACGATTGAATGCATGTTCATTGGCTGTTAGATTTGCATGTTTGAAGGGCCCTTGTAAATGGACTCGTAGTGGATAGGCTGGATCCCCATATAAGCACATCTGCTGCCCAGTGGTTGAAAATGCGTGCTGCTCAAGTAGATCATATAAGCCTGATTCATGCAGCATCCCAGCATCATGTCTTTTACCTTCTGTACAAAAAGGAAAGATAAGTCAACAAAAAAGGAAGAAATAATGCAGTTTATTAGAGCTATGGCTTCTAATTTTACATTACTACTTTATGTTAGAATATTGATACTTTAATTTGCAAGTTTTTAAGAACATTTTAAGAATAAACACAAGGTTGGGATTATTTTTGTGTCAAAACTGGTCATCAAAATGAATTAAAATACACTTTTGAAGCCAAATGTTAAAAAATGATTAATAAACAACAGATACTTGTTATGAAATCTCTATCCATTCCAACACAAAATATCATAAACAATGACTTAATAACACAGTTTTTTTAGCTAAAATTGGTGAAAAAAAAGACCATTCAGTCTGGGCTGAAAAAACAATGTTCTAAAAAAATGGAGTTTTTATTAATCATAATTAGATGCTCCTCTAGCTTTTCTTTCAACACCAAATTTCAAAGTTCATTTTCTAGAACTAGAAATTAAGGAATAACCAAGGTTATGAAAAAATCATGGACTTTGAATTTTAAACTTTTTAAAATTAAAATGAAGTAAAATGAATGATAAGAGATACATACCGAATGGACCATGCATAACAGCTATCATTCCACTTGGCACAACCACAGACTGGTACTTGAGTGCATGCACTCTTTTGTGGCCATTATAAATGATGCGCTGTTTTTCACCAGGGCGGCAAATTGGCCGAACCGTCCCATCTATAAAACCGAAGCAGTTGTCCAAAGCACTGTCTTTCTGTGAGACTGCCATTGCATACTGTTCAAGTTTCCTTGGGTCTAATAAAAACCTGTTCCAGTGGGAGATTCTGTGATAGTGTTGTTGATAAACATAGTCCATCACAGTTGTGGTGATCATACTTAGCACTGGCACCGGTCTGGGAAACCGAGATATCATTTCCGAATATCTGCAAGGATAAGCAAGGCGACGAAGAAGCATACAAAGCCCTTCCATGCCATCACAAATGCTCCCTTGTCTGCACTCGATGGTCTCGGGAATCCTCAACGCATTGCAGAGAAGAGGCAGGTCGTTTTTCTCAACGCGAAACTCGGCTTTGCACTCGGCCGGATCGATAAGATCTAAGTCGAACTTTTCAACATCATGGTACGGGAAATTTGGATTTTTCGATGTATGAAGGTTGAACAGCATCAAAAATTCCTCTTCTATTGAATCATCATCTAATGCAAGCAAAAGAGCATCTCTTGTTCTTTGAAAGGTCGCCATAATTACTCTCCGTAGTTGTTGTGTTTCAGACTAACCTTAAAGAGGAGTTGAGCAATAACGAACGAGGTACTCGTTCCAGTCTTAACACGCTTCAAGCTCCCTGTCGTAGATCTCTTGTCGTCGTATCTTAAGGTCCCTAATAAAGCATGAAGACCTAGCCACAAGGAAAGTCTTAGGAACAATTCTCTATTCAATTATAAAGATGTTGAATACGAGCAAACAACAAGTAAGACTGTGAAAATAGTTCTAAGTTGTTTCGCACCAGGTTCTAGCACAGTTTGGTAATAGCATAAGCTTGTTCTGTTGTCGTGTCTAAACCAGAGTGCATACGCTTTGTAAGACGCCCAAAGCCCTCGGTTTTAGAGGAAAAAAGTGGCTTTGTCCTGTTTTTATTGATCCCTTGCATAAGTGAAAGCTCATCCGTTGATATTAGGCAGAAGTTTGCGCCCAAACAGCTTCATTCGGAGTGATTTAAATAGTTTCGAGAAAAAAGAAGTATATCCGACTAAGCGTGCGAAGAAAGGAAAGCACACTATTCTAGCACTTTCACACAGTCGTCTAAAACAAAACAACGAAAAGTAGCCAGCTCGCAGAGTATACAATCTTAAGAACGCCTAAATTCTATCGTTACTTACCTATTATCGAGAGAACTTTCTCATAGTGGAAGGTCCACACTATGCCAGAAAGCAGACACAGGAACTGATAGAAATTATTCTTCGTGAACCTTTTTGCAGCTCTCATAAATGTCAACCAGTTGAATGTTTGGAAAGGGAGTTCGATTTCGGGTACTGGCAGCGTCGACTTCAGGTATTCACGAAGGAGTAAATCCCCGGTAGAAGTTGGAAGCCCAACAAGATGAGGCACCATCCAAATGTAACTCCTCTCCTCTGTGATTTACGTCCCTTGGCTGTCCAACTAAATAAAAAAAGTAATGTTACAAGCACTGAAAGAAACAACAATTTTAAACCAGCTGGCATACTTTCCTAATATAAACGGTTCTATTTTTCTGACTTTGATTTCTGAAACCATTCATTAAGTCGTGCCAGTGAGAACATAGCCTTAATTGTACAAGTTCAACGTTTTCAAAGGCTCTTTATCAAGGAAAAAAAAGTGACAGCGATTCAAGTGATCTTTTATAGCAACGCCTAAGTCTTTAAGAACCTTGTTACTTATCATAACAGCAAAACCTTTTCTCAGATACAGTGAAATATATGAAGTTCATATATAACCTTTTCTATCCGAAACTTTACCTGAACATCACCAAAAACATAGATGCTTTCATTAGGCTGTTTACCCAAAATGAGGGCAGCCTGCTTTCAGTTTTGCTCTTCACGGGGCTGCTCGAAATAGTTTTCGGTTGCCCGCATGAGAAACTGGCACAACTGGGAGTCGCAGATACTTTCCCAAAGGACACCACCAACAGAAGCAAACGTCCGGTTGATGGCGCTCTTAAACGTTTTGGCAAATGCCATCTCCGTGCACGTGACAAAACAGGGCCTACATGAAGGCGATATAAAATTAATATTACATATACTACATTGATTATTACATTACTTTGTAAAAGGACAAAAATATTAATCATCATAGTAGTTTTGCATTTAAAGAAAATATTTAACACTTTGGTATGGGTTGCCCTTTTGCCGGCAAAGTTTACAACTTTGCCGGCAAAAAAAACACAAAATTTGAAACCGCAACCAGAAAGCAAACTTTTGGTTTTACCTATCAGGGTCGCACTAGGTGAAAAAAATGTCAGTGATGACACTGATGAACCAGACACACGTTTGTCGACGAGTTATGGGGAGAGAGCAGTTCGCTGAAAAAGGAACACAAATGTTAAGAAAATGCATCCTGTTGAAGCATTGTTAATAACGATCGTGGTGATGCTTATTCTTCTTATTCAGTTAAATCACAAGCACCTTTTTGTCTTTCGTATGATCTATGAAAGATGGGTTAACGCCTGTTTAACTGTTTTGACTGCCGCTATGATGAGGCGAGAAATCGACGTCAGCGAAGATTACTTAGAGCGCCATATACCTGGTCAGTTCCGCGACCAGTCGAGTCGTTTGCTGTTTACTGACAAGCGATGACAGTTACCGCTGTGATAGCTATTGTTTAGCCCAAGTTTTCCAAAATCTGCCTGCCCCACCCAAGTACTACAGCGTCTTTGATGTTTAGGCCGGTTTTCAACGTTTTTGCGAACTGGAAAAGTTAGGGTCGCATTAGGCAATGTCTTATATCGACATGCATGAAGAAATCAAAACAACTACATTAAATGTTCGCAACACTTTGTTTACTTAACAGAATGGTTTCAAGAACAAACCGAATTTACCACTGACTTTGAGGCAATGGAGGTCAACGAGCTGAATAAATATTTGTCCAAATTTTTTGTCTCAGTCAGGAGGAAAGAGGGGACTTTTTACAAGAGAAATAGTCTGTTGTCTGTGCGAGTGGCTCTCGCTCAGTTGTTCACTGACGCGTGACAAGGACAAATAAAATGTAACATGCTGGGCCGTTGAATGGAACAGGAAATTTCTAGTTCTGTTATCGTCATTCTCAAGAAGTGTCGGCGAAGCAATTGGGCATTAAAAACACACCTTTCTAGATCAATTTATCTTGAATAAAGTCATCATTAAACTTAAATAAAAATTTGGAATAGAAAGTGGAACAACTTACATGCTCACATCATCCTTCCTTTGTACATGCCATTGTACCTTTTGAGCTGCGCTGGAAACTCCACGAAGCAATCAATGTAAAAGTGAAAATTGGAAATAGAACGGTACACGTTCTGTCCCTTCTTTACGTGCAGTGACCTCTTAACAGATAGAGACTTCACCGGTGAGGCCATGACATGGACTGAACTTAATGCAGCACACTAACATCTGTTCGGTTAGCACTGTGACAAACCGTTTTAAAAATCCATCCAAAAGATGCATTGTTAGTAGAACCCCACGAGGTGCTCCTCGGGGGTAAAACACCGTTCTGTACGGCTGTGTGATTTTTGACAGGAAATAGAATAATGATTCTCTGCAGGATCGTTTTGGATGTCAAATGCATTGAAAAAACTACCACACGCCATTATCATCTTGTCTTGACGCCTTGTCTATTTCATATTTGTGAACGCATCTCTGTTGTAAAAATGCTTCCCACACAGAGGGGGGTTCTAAATACCGTAACACCGCAAACAAAGTAGGAAAAGAAATACTATCAAGACACCCACAACGCGATGTAAGAAAAGAATCCGGTTTTGCTTGGACTGGTTTCACTCATCGTCACCTATGTGCTGGTCTTTGACTGGCTGAAAGTGGGTGTGGTAGAGGTCGAGATGAAAGTATAAGCGAACACGGCCACGAAATTGTCTCTGATATATTACTTTTTCTTTTTTGGACAATTGATCACAGGTTATCAAATCTAGTTTTTAAAAGGGTTACAGAAGGAATGGTGGATGTTATCCAACACAGTCGGTTTGAAATCGCAAACATTGTAAACTGTAAGGCTTGAGATCACCACAACATTGCGAGTTTATCTTTTTGTCGATGGAAGAGGGTAGGGTACAATTTCGATGGTCGAGGGTACCTTTTTGTCCCCCATAATTTTTAATTGAGAAAAAATTAAACCGAATTGTACTAAAATAGTTTAAAACAAATAAAGAAAAACACATTTTTTTGAAGATACGGATTGGACATGGAAATTACATCATTTTATACGTAGACATTGCCCCAAAAAATAGCGAGAGGGGGAGGGATGAGATAGTGAAAAGCACGTGGACATCCCAGTTCATTTTAACGCAAGAAGTGATTGAAAGCTGGCCGGGCATATCGAAAAACAAACTTAGGGGAGTCGCAAGGAATACCTGGTAGTGATTTCTGGTGTCGGTGATTAATTGCAGTTTCGCTTTTTGCAGAGGAAATTGAACGAGTCGAGCGTTCCACATGATTTTCTAAAGATTTTCCACATGATTTTCCACAGAAAAGGAATGCCTTCTCTCCAACTCCTGCCATGTGCGTATGTGCGTATGTGGCAAACCCCGCCTATCCTCAACGTTTGCATTTGCAGTGCTCATTTCGACCAGGAATATCATCCGAAATGGTAGCTTTCAATGAAGCGTGCACCCAGTTGTGACTTCAGGAGAAGCTGTTTGGTGTCATTTTTTATTGTAATGTGTTATTGTATTTTGTTGTTGTTGTTTTGTCCAGTTGAACCAAGTAAGCTACTTTTGCGTTTTTTTTATTGCAAGTTCATCATACCGGTTTTCTGCTAGTTTGTGCCTTTTGTTTAGTTGAACCAACATTTCACCTGGTTTTGCAATTTTAACCAGTTGAACCAATTTTGTTTTGTCCAGTTGAACCAATTAAGTTAGTTTGTTTTATTTTTTAGTTCAAGATCTTCAGCTACTTTGACCCCTGTAGGCCAGTTAAGCCTATTCAGCTAGTTTGTACGTTTTGTTTAGTTGAACCAATTTAGCTAGTTTTATGATTTTAACCAGTTGAACCATTTCGGCTAGTTTGAACATTTTTATAAGTTGAGCCAATGAAGAAAGGTTTTGCGTTGTGCCAGGTTCAACTATTTCACCTGGTTTGACCAATGAAACCAGTAAAACTAGTTTAGCCAGTTTGCGCGTTTTGTTCATCTGAACCATTCTTGCAAGTTTGCCTATATCAACAAAATTAACCAATTCAGCTAGTTTGTATTTTTCAACTTGAATCATTTTAGCCTGTGACCATTTTCATCAATTTTAACTACTTCAGCTAAATTTTTTATGTTACCTAAGTGAATCATTTCCTCTTGTTGGACCATTTTAACACACGACTAGTGCATTCACAACGTTAGCTGCCTAAAGAGTTTAGAGAGGAACATTCACGAAC